TTTGAATAATGGTAAGTTTATATACATAGTTACAAAGTCTCATGAATGAATTCTTCTTTCTACTTGCTTTGTATATATTGTGATAGCTATTTGTGGATGATGCAAAAATCTCTTCTTTTTTTTTCTTTTTTTTTTCTTTCTTTCTTTTTCTTTTTCTTTTTTTTTTTTTTTTTTTTCGCAAAAGGCAAAAGTTCTGAACAAGAAGTGGTATATGTATTTTTAATATTTTCGATGTTGAGTAAAGCTAGCATATCAAATGTTTATTCCATTTTTTGTAATTTTTCAGTCATTCTCTCATTAACTATATATATATATATGTAAATTAAAGGCAATGAAGAATTATATACCATTAAAATAATGAAAAGTCGCAGCATGGGTAGTGTTGCCTAAAAGATGAAGAGTTGTGAAAGCAATGAAGAAATTGAGTAAATGAAAATGATGAAAAGTCATAGCATGGAGTCATCTTGCAACACAAGACACTACTAGAAATCCGGTAAAAAGCGACCATAAAAAGCGACCACAAAAAGTAACCACAAAAAGCGACCAAAGTTGGTCGCTTATAGGCCCAAAAGCGACCAAAAAACGACCAAACATGCCTGGTCGCTATATTGCTGGTCCCTTCACTTTATGAACCAAAGTTGGTCGCTAATTAGCGACCAACTTTGGTCTCTAAGGTAAAATGACTAAATATTCCGGGTATTGACTATAGCGACCATCTTTGTCGCTTTATTATTTTAATAATATAAATTTGGCGACTAAATGTAAAATATATTATTTATTTATTTATTATTATTCATAAAACAACGACCAACTTTGGTCTCTAATCCAAATATTATATTTTAAAATCTGGAAAATGGAGACCAAGGTTGGTCGCTATTTTATTAATTTTTTTAATTTTTTTTAAAAATAAGCGACCAAAAGTTGGTCGCTAATTTCAAGAATTTAATTTTTTTTTAAATATAAGCGACCAATGTTGGTCGCTATTTTTCCAGAAATTATTTTTTTTAATGGAATAGCGGCCAAGGTTGGTCGCTTTTTTAGAAATCTGGATAAAAAGAGACCAACTTTGGTCGCTATTTCCCAGAAAATTATTTTTTTTAAATGAAAAGCGACCAAAAAGAGATCAAAGCTGGTCGCTTTTCTGGGTATTATTTTGGTAGAAACTGCCTGTTTTGGCAGCTACACCACCTGCCAGCATACCAAATCCCTATTACAAGCAACAACAACAACAACACAACAACAACAACAACAACATTAAAACCAACGAAGTATAAAGTTCAGTAGAACTAACACATTAAGCTAACAAAACTAAGTTAACGCTTATTATAAGCTCATTCGAAAACTGGTTCTATTGTCTAGTTCAAAGTATATAAAGTACTCAAGGAGTGTTCTTTCAGCATCCTCGTCCGAAAGTTGGATTGCCTCGCCCGACTCATTAGGTGGCTGACTGCGTATGAATTCCTCCACATCAGCTGTGAAGCGAACCTATAAGAAAAATTATATTAAATTAGTATTTCAAAATTTATATAAAAGTAAATAAAAATACTTAATGAAAAGTAAAAAACTTACATGTATAGTCGAGGATCGACCCTCGATCCACCTTTCTAAATCAGTCTCTTTCTTCTTCTTTACAATACGAGTTTCATTGAATATCTCATAATCTTGCTTCATTGGCATCATAAAGCTGTCTGGTGACTTTGGTGATTATCCTCGGGATAAACTTGGATACAGAGAATAACTTGGATACAGTAGCTGACAGGGTGTGTCTTTTGATCAATTGTTGTTCTAGTTAGCGACAATGATGATGAGAAGGCAATGGCATGTGTTTCAAATAGTGATGGTGTAGGCAAGAATTTTAACATTTCCTAAGTAGATAAAAGAAAGATTATAGAGGAATTCTCTACTTCATTTTCCAAGAAGAAAAGAAGTTTAATTGATAGTGACAAGGTTGATATATATAAGCATATCAATATAGTATTACCTAATACACTTATACTTAGTGCATAGTATAGCGTAAATATATATATTATATATACATAAGCTATATTCGATATAGTATTACCTAATAGACTTATACTCGATACGGTATTACCTAATACACTTATACTTAGTGCATAATATAGCGTAAGTACATATATTATATATATATATATAGACACATACGCCCGCTTCGTAGTACTATTCATCCCTTGTATTACAAAAGTATTAACGACTTACATTTATATTATTTACATAGTAAATACAAAAGTGATTTTTAATTTTGACCATATAGAGACCAACTTTGGTCGGTAACTGTAAATCAATTTAGTTTAACGACCAAAGTTGGTCACTAACTGTACATGAATTTAATTTAGCGACCAAATTTGGTCACTAAATTTGAATCAGATTTATTTATATTTTATATAATATTTAAATTAATAATAAAAATTATTAAATGTTAGAATTGGGTCCCACCTTGGCGACCAACGTTGGTCTCTATTTCATTAAGCGACCAACTTTGGTCGCTAACTTTTGAATTATATTTATTTATATTTTATAATTTTTTTTAAATAAATATATATTTATTAAAATATTATAACTGGGTCCCATATTAGCGACCAATGTTGGTCGCTATCAACTTATCCTTCCGTTAGCGACCAACTTTGGTCGCAAGTTTTAAATTATATATATTTATATTTTATAAGTTTTATAAAATAATAATAAAATTATTAAAAATTTTATGTGGGTCCCACTTTAGCGACCAACATTGGTCGCTAATCTCAGTATATCTTTGACCAAGCAAGTCTGACCAGTCCAGTCAACAGTTTAACTAAATTTGCGGCCAAATAGCGACCAACTTCGGTCGCTAAAGTATTTCAAATATTTTTTTTTTATTATTTTCGACAGTTTGGCGACCAACTTTGGTCGCTTTTCTTGACAGACCAAATTTAGTCGCTAATCTTTGATCGCTTTTTACAGGAATTCTTGTAGTGAGAGTAGCATATTATATTTGCAGTTTGCCAGTTTCCTTTGTAGCAAACACAGAATTATGCCCTCCAGTGCTCTTTGTAGCAAACACAGAATTATGCCCTCCAGTGCTTTTGAGAGCATACCAGTATATATAGCACGAAAATTGAGAGTATATTATGATTAACAAACTCTAAAAAATATGGTCAAATAAAGCCTATGTCGTCCTTATATGCAGTGCTTGAAAATCTTTATTTTCTTATGCTCTTTTCTAGCTAATATTGGCGCATTGCTATAGTTTGGTCTTTTATATTTAGGAATAAATTTGAGGGAAAGGTCCTCATTAAGGTTCAAAAAATGAGTCCGAATATGAGTAGAATTAATAGCTCTTTTTTTTCTCTTTACTTTCAGAAATGATGGTTCTTATGCACGAATAGCCTATATCTCTATGTTTTTGCATACAAAGATTTGCCACATAGAGGTGAGAGTATTAACTAAATGGCCGATCATGAATAAAAGAGGTGGATACGAGATTGCATGTGCAATTTGAGCAATATATTGTTTACTTTCTAAATGCAACAAGTACATGATGGAATATCAATTTAATTTAAAGTTCAATTCCACCAACAGAACTTGCAGTTCTCCAATTCTCCTTTCGTCTTCATCCAGCGAAATTGTAACATATACTATATGATTATTCAATAACAAGCGTCCAATGTCTTAAACATTAATACTTCACTTTTTCTCGGTATAGAATAAACAATATCAATAGTTAATATTTTGTTGTTCCTTAAGCATATATTATCTTATAATTATCTAAATTTAGTTTCATAGATGAAGAAAAATTTTGTATTGCAATCCAAACCTTCCTAATAGAGATTCTTGAGAAAGAGTATAGTGTACGTTGTGAAATTGAAGGTTTATTGCTTCCATGTATATAGAATAAGATAAAATTGATCAAAGAATAAATATTAATTTGTTGTTAATATACATTATAACTATAATTATTTAGCCATATTTTATTTTATTTTAATGACTGCGCAAAGCGCGAATAAATTCTCTAGTTCTATTCTATACTTGGAATTTCCTTTCATCAGATACACTGGCCAAAATTTCAGGGGTATAGCCAGTTTTCGGACTGGTCAATCAAAAATAGCCAGTGTTTACCAAGTCAATGAAAAATAGCCACCGTTTTGCTGCAATAAAGACCGGTCCAGCATAATATACTGGAGTTTCGGTGCACTTGTGTATGAACTGCAGCATATTATGCTGGACCGGTATACTTTGCTGGCTCCAGTATAATATACTGGAGACTGGAGCACTGGTGCTCCAAACTCCAGTATATTATACTAGACCATTATACTTGCTGGAACTCCAGTATATTATGTTGGAGTTCTAGTATATTTATGCTGGAACTCCATCATATTATGCTGGAGTTCCAGCATACTATCCTGGAACTCCAGTATAATATGCTGGAGTTCAAGTATACTTATGCTGGAACTCCAGTATTAATATACTGGAGTATTTTCCGGGTTTTGAACAGTATTTTCGCTCAGATTTATCTTTACATAAAAAATGATTAAATTTCGATTACTTTTGAAATTGGGCTATTTTTGAACGACCAGTTATAAATCTGGCTATTTTTAAAAATCACCCGATACACTGTGATAACTTTTATTATTAGTGACAGATCCTGCGATCAGTGCACTAGGCCAGGTAAATTTCTCATCTTTTTAATCATTAGACCAAATAGACTCGGCCCAGCCCACCAAATTCAGGTATCAGGTCCAGTACAGAAAAGCCCAAAAATAGCATGACAATCCCATCATGATACTGTGAGCCTTTGGTGCGTCTTCTGCTTACATACAGTATATATATAAGAAGATCACAGTCATATTGAACGGAAGGCTCAAGCTGAATTAAGGTATTTATATACTTGTGACACATGCACTTAATATAACAATCAAAGCAGTCATAAGAATCCAAAATGACACGCATTCTTATTGGGACATCAATTTCACATACACACATTGTTTGGTCCAAGGAAAAGGCAGTGACAAGTCAAATCAAATTTAGACAATAACCATTATAATTCACATGATGAGCATAAAATTACAATTTAGAAGCTGGCACCTTTTAAGTGCTTTAACTATATATATGAACAGTCTAATCCAAGTCTACCTCAAACCCACAACATATCCACATATATAAACATGGTTGAAAAGTACTAAAAAAAGCTAAGGATAATTAATTTCCTTTTAGGCAGTGGGATAAGAAGCATCCATAGCAAGTCCACAAAGGCCTTGTTTCTCATGAACATCCCTTTTGATGCGCATATATCCACTGTCACCCCATTTACTGCCCCATGAATTCTTCATAATCCAATATTTTGTACCATCACTTGTAGCACCATATCCTACTGCTGTAACAGCATGGTTAAGCCAAGTGCTACATGATCCACTGAATACACCACTTGAATAGAACTGGAAATCGAAGCTACTCCCGTCTATTGCCACCGACACTGGTTGATTAGCCACTGCCTGCAAAAGAGCCTTCTCACTGTTGGCTGGCACATCTTCATATCCTGTAATTAGTGATCGGCGTTAAATGGGCGGGTTGAACTACACTTGGACGTTAAATAATCAATATATATGTTGGTCATAACTCGTCCATATATGGTTGTAGGTCATAACAAGGACCTAAATAATGTAGGTCATAATTAACCCAACTCACCCTATTGAAACTTGTTCTTTTATATTTTCATGGGCTAAATATGACACCCGTACCTGTAATTTTGGCTGCTGAAAGAGCTGACTTTTTCTTGTTGCAGACACCATCTTCTCCTTTGTATGGATAGTTTGCTTCTGTTGCGAGACCCTTGTTTTTCGTGATGAATTCAAAGGCAGTGTCCAAGAGTCCACCGCTACAACCTTCGTCCTCGCCTTCGACATCACAGTCTACAAGTTCTTGCTCTGATAAAGGGATCAATTTTCCTGTTTTCAGTTGATGTAGCCCTTCCATAGCAGCTACTGCAGAGAATGCCCAACAACACCCTGTGTGTGTTTGCATAGTATCAAAAAGTTATATATTGCTACAAAAAAGTAATAGTGAACTTTTCTGGAAGAGGCAAGTGCTCTTTTTGGAATTTTTTTTTAAATGACTTTGTCGATTATGTGACACTTATAAGAAAGTATATGAGAATTTGTCCTCTGTTATTGACAACCTTTGAAACAAAAAAAAAAGTTGTTTTAACAATTTTGTTATTTCGGAAGGCAGGGTGGCGAAAGAACGAAAAGTAAAGGTACAGAAAAAATCTTGACTAACAAAGGGTGTCATATTTTTTTGTTATCACCTGCTGAAAGCAAAGTCCAAAGTCAAAATTGGGATTTTGTCCAATAGGAAACAATTCAATTCTAATTACGTTTATGGAACAGTTAGTAGCTTTCTTATAGAACATGATTAGTCCACTAAACAGAGATAATAGTATAGCAAATTTATGTACTTACCACATTCCTTTTGGTCCTTGATAGGGGTAACCGCACCTTTCTTTCTCCAATCCATAGTTGGCGGTATGTCTGTCACATTAGCATATCTAAAATGTGTCTTTGGCTTTGAGGAAGACATGACCTTAGGGTGTGATCTCTTGTAACCAGTATGCAATACACGAAATTCCTCATTCGTGAGATCAGTGAATTTATTAACGCCAAGTTTGTACCCTTTATCTTCACCTGCATTAAAAGCTTCTATACGTTCCACGTTTTCTTTAAATATTTGAAAACGCATTTCTTTCTCATTCAAATCTTTGTAAATTTTTTCATGATGAGCAATCCATTGGTCATGCCTAGCTCGCATGCTTGCCTCATAGTTGATTGGACGTGATGAAGCTACTTGAGAGCTCCAAACTCCCAAAAATATGAAGAACAAAGCTAAGCAAAGGTACTGGCTTGTTTTTGCAAAGGCCATTATGAAAAACTAGCTAGTTATTATGAAGGGAGAAATTGAAATGTTTTCTTGGATGAATGTTAAAGCTTGGATGGGGAGATGTATTTATAGGCAAGAAATCCCTACAAGTTGAATCTCCTGCTGGTGTTGCATAGATAAAGACATGCAATTCTAGGTTCCTTGCACAATTTTCTGACTCAGACACTTTTGGATGGACAAGATCAGTTAAATCAGTTATCGTGCTTAGCATGAAAATTGTTGCATATGCTACGTACCTCGGAGGCTGAAAATAATTATACTATTTGCGACTTTTAATAGAAAAAGAAAAAACAATCTTATTACTATCTTTTTTCAGTAGTCACATCTCTTTTCCCGTCACCATAATGCTAACAGGTGCTAATTATTCAAAATTATGAATTTGGGTTGGGAAATTATACTAATATTGGCAAATCATAATGAGTACTAGTACTCTATCAATGTGGAACCCAATATACTGTTAGAACCTGCTGATGATCTCTTCCTGTGGATGGAATATGTTGGACTATAGTATAGGAAACGATCACCATGAAATTCATAATTAAGTGGAAGAGTTGTGACTTGAACGATTAAAATTCTGGAGACATGCCTGTAGTTAAACAAGCAACTCATATTATCGTGTATCACTTTTCATGCATATGTAGCTTGGAAAATGTTGACTAGGTAGGGATGTTTGACACGGAAAGTTAACTTCATATTGAGAATAGTTTAGCAATGAGTTAATTAAATTAAAGCACTTCTTAGTTATCTTCAGTCTCATCAGCTCTAGCAATAATTTAGCAATAAGTTAACATGGGCGGGTCTACCTCAAAGCCATTAAAGATTTTGCTTTTTAAGTTCAAAAACTATGAAATTTCGATAACTCCTCTCTACAATTTATAATCTTAACTTTAGAATCATAGCATCATTTTTATTTTTATTTTTACTGACTAATTAGTCACAAAAAGATGTACTTCTATTATTATTACATTAAATAGCTTGTAGGATTAGAGGAACTAAAAGATCTTGAGGCAGGCAGTACTGGAGCTTAGCTTGCACGCTCAGCCTATTGCTGTTTTTTTATGTAGTCTTTTGGAGCTGTAAATACCCCACAATTTTTTGATATATAAAATCCGATAATAAAAAAATACATTAAATCTTTTGAGCCATTTGCTTAATTTGTCACCTATTATATTTAAGTAGTCACATAGTTCCGAATTTTATGTTTTCTTTATGGATTTGGTTGAGGCAATTACAAATAAAAGCGGTAGGTCATTAAAACTGTTGTTGCTTCCTGCTTTTTTCTTCTAATTTATTCCAACTTGAGTCAATTTTGTTCATATATGATTTCTTCTTTCAATGGCTTTGTAGACACACTTTAAGCTAAACTAAATTTTGAAAACCTCTAGATTGAAAAGTTGATGTCCTTATAGTCCCTGCTGCAAGCTTAAATTCCCATAGGGGAAAGATCAAAACCCTAACATCTTGAGTTGGTATTTTCTCATTTTCTTTAAGAATATTACTCCAAGTTGGATATATAGGAACAAAAATGATCCTATCCTCGTGCTTCTTGGCTTATAACTCTAAATTGGAATCTCCATATTGAAAGATGATTTTCATATATAATTTCTTCCATACGAGGATCTCTTAATTGAGTGTTGAGTGACAATTGTACGTGAATTGAATACATCCATGAACACATTCAACAAATACAAAAAATTCAATGCTTCTCCAGGAATCAAATAGTTATAAGAATCTTTTTGTTAGCAAAATTGGTTACGTATACACTTTCTTTCTTGAGTTTTCAGTGACAATTGGGATTGAATAAATATACACACCACAAATAAATAAATAAACAAATTAAAAAAACAAGAATATTCATGCTTCTTTATGGAATCAATTAGTCCTAAGAATCTTTTGGTCAGCAAAGCTGGATAACTTTAAACAAAAGTCCAACAAAAAAAAAACTCTTAATCATGGAATCCGTGTAAGGATGGTCCTCTTCTTCCCCTCAAAGGATCCACCAGTAAGAATATTGAAATAAAAGGAATCTCTTGATAGAAGCAAACATCACTACGAAAAGTAGACCCCGAAAGTTTGGAATATTTGGAAGCTATTGACTACTTGACTTTTTACTTGACGTATATACTAATAATAGATTTTTATTTTTACTTGTCACTTTACGCATATTAAGAGAAGACATATTTTTTCCTGTTATACCCATAATATTTATTATTCATTTCAAATTATTTTCTCAAATTAAATAAAAATATATCAATTAATATGAGTATTATAGTAAATTATGCACTTCATTTTATTATTTTTTAAGGAGCGTAAAAAGTCAAACGTGCCAAGTAAAAGTGAACGGAGGAAGTATATATGAAGAACGTTTTGGTAACCTCATTTGATTCTTTAGGTTTCGTGAGATCGCTTGATTCGTTATATATGCTGACTATTTTATGTCTGTCTCCCTAGTGTATAGCATAGTGTTACTCTATTGCGTATGATCCACCAGCTAAGATTTACCTAGTCCGTTAACAGAAAAAGATTAGCTTATATAGATTGGGGTTTTAACTGCCGCTAACTAAATGTATATATATAAGAAATACATAATCCTTAAAATACATATTATATGTTAATATACAAAATATATATTATTTCGGCTGTTATTTTGGAGACGACTATATTGTGTAGATTTGAATGGTATATTCAACAATTTTAGCTGTTTTTTAAACGAAAAGGAAAATCATTCTTTAAATGAAAATATTTTCTCTGTTGCAATTTATGAGGCAATGTTTGATTAGGTATGAAATTTAGAAAAAAATTAAAGATTTTTAAACTATGATCATATATTTAACAAAATATTTGTGCGGCTATAATACTTTTAAAAGTTGTGATCATAAATATTTTATAAAATTTGTTGGATTATAAAAGTTTCTCGTTGGTAAATTAAAAGTTTAAGTTAAAGAATTTTTAAACTTTTATAAAGTTTTTTAAACGAACTAAAAAAGAAAATATTATCACATATAAGTGATAAAGAGTAATGTCTTGATCAGGAGACTTGATGGCACACTACCTAGACTAGAAGAAATATATAGAAATGATGTGGGACTCTCAAGTGTAAGGTCATCAGAAAATGAGGGGCGCCAAATGGAAATGGCGGCCATTTCGTTTTCATATGATGCATAATAAAGGCAGGACTAATTAGTCATAATCATGACTTCCTTATTACCTCATCTTAATACTTATTGTAAATAGATGGTTATAAATACTTCATATGTTATTTCACCTGTCAATTAATCGTCTAAGGACTTTAGTTTTAAGCAATCGATTAACAAAAGCATGTGTCAGTATCGTCTACTGAAAAAGGGTAGGAAAAAATGGAAAACAAAGAAAAATAAATAAAGAAAGAGAAGAAGCGGCGGGATTGGATATAGATTTATATCTTATTAACAATGTAAAGATTATTTACACTATTTGTATAGTTTAAATTGTGATGTTAGGTTAATTATCGATTACTAATTGATGTTTATTTTATAAATTTTTCACAATGAATTTACAAGTGTGTAAATAGTTTTTAACATTTAAACTCAATTGAAATTAAACTCAAATGTCCAAAAAAGTCCAAAATTATAGGCTTGATACGTGTAATTATTTTTTTGGTTGCTTGAATACATATAGCTGTGGTTCATATCCGAATTTTGCTGCTAATAGAAAAATCCTCCGTAGTGCAAAATTTGGTCACGAAAAAGTGAACTTTGTAATTCATATTTCTTGCGAAAGATATTTACCAAAAATCTAAAACCATCCCACATGATGCTTGCGAACTCTCTCTACTTAAGCAATTATATGTCCAAGTCATTTATAATTTCTGGTTACATGAGGATTTGCTTAGAATATAAAGGGAAATTCGCGCATTTTTTTTCAATATACTAACTTTAGAATCCGCGCCAATCAAATTAAAATTTGTAGACAGGAATAACGATTTATATGAAATAGTAAGGTACATTAAAGAATATGCAATACTCATAAATTCTAAAGTAATTTTTTACCAATTACTATTTTATAAATTGATAAATATAACGTGATGTTTTATCAATTAATTAGTTTCAACTCATTGAGCCTCCATAACTAATCAATTTTCTTAGAAAAATAATTTACCGTTATATTAAGACTAGAAAAAAAAGGTAATACCTGTTAGTCAACTGTATTTGTAAACTAATTCTGGAAAAAACAAAGCAGAATAATATATAAACAGAAAACGTAAAGAGATAGAAATCAATTCGAGCCCACTGAATTCACAGTGTTTCCTTAAGGAATTTAATCCCCTCCTAGTACCCAAGGTTATGGATTATTTTCTCCCAGGATAGAACGAGTTACACACTGGTGTAGTGGTACTTCAAACCTTGGTGTTTCAACGAACACAAAGTTCGGTAGCAAATCACACTTACTGTTGCTTTGTTTGATGTTAAAAGTATGCAGAAGAAGGAGGAGAAACTCAGAAAATCGTATGAAAATTCTAAGCAGAATAGCCTTGTATTTATAGCCAAAGTTGGGCTGGAATCTGAAGAGGTGCAACTTTTCAGAATGGCTGTTTATGCAAAATGGCCACAACATAAATGCCATAACATAAATGGCTATTTACTCAACAATAAAGAGGGAAAATAAAGAGGAAAAATTGAAGGGTAGTTAATTATCTGTTACAAAAACAGAAAACTGAAATTTGGATAACGGAATTGGATTTACTATTAATATTTATTTTAATATTAATATTCTGTTATTAAAACAAATATTTAATAACATTTCTGTTAATATTTTACTATTAACAAATAAATTTGGTCCAAAAATTAATCAATCGATCGATCATCCCGAAGCCGAAGCCGCAGCCGAAGCCGAAGCCGAAGCCGAAGCCGAAGCCGAAGTCGAGCCGAGCCGAGCCGAGCCGAGCCGAGCCGAGCGAGCGAGCGACGACGACGACGACGGTGCGAGGCTTGCCTTCTTCTCAACTCTTTATGAGCTAGAAGAAGAGCAATTGCTTATATACCCATCAAAAACCTTTCCTCTTCCAAAA